CCAGCCGCAGAAGCCACAGCCACAGGAGCGGCGGCAGCAGCAGACCACAGGGACACTGCAGCAGCCCCCACAGCAGCCACAGCAGCAGGGGCAGCAGCCAGAGCAGCAGCCGACCCGGTAGCATCTGCAGGTGGTGCAGCCACCACAGCCGCCACCACAACCACCACAGCCACCACAGCCACAGCCACCACCGCAGCCACCACAGCCACAGCCACCACCGCAGCCGCCACAACCACAGCACCCCATGGTGTCAGTAGAGAGGACTCAGGAGATGTGAGGAGGGAGACTCAGGAGGTGAGGACGTCTGATACCCCCCTCTGTTGGGGAGCCCTTAAATACCACCTTTGGCTTGGGCTTGACTCAAGCACATGACTACTTCCCTGTTTATCTGTTTTCCTGGGAGAATTTTAGTGTCCTTGGTTTACTTCCTTAGGACTTTTGGCCGCATAAGATAGCTTACTTTACTTCCAGATTGCTTTGTTTTAAAGACATGTTCACGACAGAACTGTGAGAGTCTGAAATATTTTAGTCATTTTCTGCACAACCAATGCAAGGTTAACTCTGAAGTTTTAATGTGAATTGTAAGCATGTGAGATTGAATCTTTTTTATTTTTATTCAGTCTTCACTGATGCTGTAAGAGATGGCACAAAGACATGCCTTCTGAGGCGGCATTGTCTATCAATTAGAGGCCTCAAGACTAACATTTCCCAAACCTCTCACGTCCCAGCTCCAAGGAGAAGAGTCTAGAGGGCCTTTCCCATCCTTTTTAAGGCTTCCACTGTTCCAGGTCAGTACTCAGATTCTGCAAATAAAAGAGGAGCTGTGATGAGAGTCACTCACAAGTTAGCAAAAAGAACTCTCAAAATCACAAGGCTTTGGGTCCCAGAGTCAAGCCTTGGAGCAGCTGGTGCACAGCCGTGTGCAATCCCACAGCCTGGCCCAGGGTGCATAGATGGGCCCACTGCCGGTCTGTGCCACCCAGGATGCGAACCATGGTCCTTGCCCAGAACTTTCCACCAGATACTTAAACAGGAGAGTAGGAGCAATTGGAAAAACATTCAATATAAATTTTTACTTGACACTTTAAGCAAGTATTACCTCTAAAATACAACAGAGTGTGAAGTGGAGATAAATCTTGTTTGTAAGGTATAGGCCCGCCAGGAGACTGTTTTGAATGGTTTAGAATGGGAGTGTTACTGAACTCAAGGGGTCTGGGACTTGGGCTGTTCCATTCCAGAACAAGACGTGATTGGCATTAGGTAGTTTTCTTGCAGCAAGGAAAGGAGACAGGGATTCACACCCAAAGCTCCGTCTCCCAGAAGGGAGGCTTAGCAATTGCTTATATGCATTCTCTGGTTAACTACACATCATATCTTCTTTGCAGTTGGCTACATTTATCTGGTTGAGTGCTTGTCGAGCTCACCCTGATCACAGCTGCATCTGCAAAATACTAGGCTACATTTTAACATTTAGCAAGAATAGCATTTAGTAAGAGACATACAGACCTTGAGACCCTGGTTCTATCTCACAGGGGCACATGTACAAACTAGTCATTTCAGTGGCACACGCTGAGCTGTTTTAGAGGCATGTTCCAGGGAATGCCTTCCTTCCCAGAGGGCATAATTCTTCCATAATCATGGGAGTTTTCCACGCACCCAAGAAGCACTCTTAGATCTGGGCAAGAGGAGCCCTGCACGTTAGGATCCCATAGATCATGAGCACACAAAAATAAATCTTAAAGAACACAAGGGGCCCGGCAGGTGTTGCTCAGTGGTTGAGCACCATGAACCAAGCAGGCGGTCACTGGTTCAAATCTCGATCAGGACACATGACTGTATTGCAGGTTCCATCCCCAGTACGGTGCATGCAGGAGGCAGCCAATTGATGATGTTTCTCTCTCATCAATGTTTCTATCTCTCTACCCCTCTCCCTTCCTCTCTCTCTAAAAATCAGTAAAAACGTATTTGAAAATAAAAGAACACAAGGGCCCGTCTGCCACTTAGGATCCAGAGCTCAGCCTGTGAGCCCCCTCTGCTGTGTGGGGTGACTGACTCAGCTCAGGCCCCTGGCAGTGCTTCTCCACAGCGTTTGTCCTGTGTCCTGGAAACGGGAGCTGAACCCTCTGCCTGTCCTGGTGGGTTGTGGGCTGATGGCCTAGAGCAGGGGTGGGCAACCCTTGGCAACATGGCACGCCAGTAACTTTTGCTGGCATGTGAAACCCTCTCTTATAATCTCCCATTTACAATTTTTTTCTTAATATTGACTTTTTTATTTGGAAGCAGAAATTTATTGACCTTAGAGTTGACTTGGAAAACATTGAAAAAAAGCAATTAGAGACAGGAGTACCAGAGAGGAGTG